TTTAAGTTTTTGTCCGGGCGCTTTCGCTTCGCCGCCGCCGCCCCCCTTCGGCTATAAGCAGGGAAAGCTTGTCCTGCAAGCCCTGGAAGGAGGGGGAAGAAAAAGAGACCGGGATGGGGGGAGGAAATGTTGGGTTTTCGGCATTGCAAGGCGGAAAAAGAGGCTGCGCCTATTGCTCGGCCGGGATGCTTTCTTGCCAGCTGTGCTTTTAGGGCAGATGTTGGGGCGGCGGCCCAACCCTCCTTTCGGCTTGCTTCCCCGGTCGCCTCGGCAACTCCGGAAAGGATCGGCCTTTTTTTCTTTTTCTTTTCTTTTTCTTTTTTGCGCGCGCGCGCAGGAGCTGCGGAGGAATTCAAGCCGAGCCCGCTTGCTTCCTCGCAGCCCGGCTCGATTGAGCGCCCGCGAGAGACACCCGCCTCCGGATCTGCTTTATTTATTTATTTTCCATGCAGGTTGGAGGCGTTTTGGCAGCAGCAGCAGCAGGAGGAGGAACGGCGGCCCGCCCGCCCGAGCCGGGTCGCTTGCGTGAGGAGGAGGAGGAGGAGAAGGAGGTGGCGGGGAGCCCCGCGGTGTCGGGAGGCCAAGCGAGCGGTAACTTAAGGAGGAGCCCCCAATGGAGGAAGAGGAGAAGATGGTAGCCGCCGCTGGCGAGGAATGGCAAGGTGTGGCGCAAAAGAGAAAAGCCTGGGCTAAAAGCAGGGACTCCTGGCAAGCGTCGGAGGCCGAGCGCCTATCTCCAGAACCGGCGGATTTGGCCGCGGAGGAGGAAGAAGAAGAGGAGGAGGAGGAGCTGTGCGGAGCCAAGTTGCCCTTGACTGCGGAAGGAGGTCAGTCTCTGCAGGCGGCGAGTCGCTTGGTCCTCTCTCCCCGCGGCTGGCGAGGTGCAAAAAATAAAAGAGTCTCGGGGACACCTGAAAGGCTGAAGCGCAGATTTATACTCGGGCGCTTCCCGCATTCTGATGCGCGAGGCGAGGATGGCGCTTCTGACGGGCGTTCGATGACGTCCGTTGAAGTTTATAGCTCAGGAAATCGGCTTTAGCCTTTCACATGCCAGACCCAAGACTTTGCCTGCTCCTGTCGGGACAAATCCGGGAGAGCAGGGTGGGAAGGACTTCTAGGTCCCGCTTGTCGAAATGATCCTCTGCGACTTTTTTTTTTCCTTTTGGAGAAAGTAAGCTGTGCTGACCTTGGGGAGAAGGTTGCTTCCCCTCAAACCTCTGTCCTGGTTAGGCTGGCTTTTATATAATTAATATAATATAATATAATATATTATATTATATTATATTATATTATATTATATTATTTATTATAATATAATATAATATATATGTATATATATATGTGTGTATATATGTATATATATATATGTGTGTGTGTGTGTGTGTGTGTGTGTGTGTATATATACATATATATATATATATATATATATATATATATATATATATATATGAATGACTCTCACATTTCTTTTAGATATGCATTTTTGAGTTTCTGTGAAATTATGCAATTGTACCATACTTCTTTGATTTCCTTATAAAAAGCTTTTTTTAAAAAAATATACTATATAAAAGCTTTTTTAAAAAAAATATACTATATATTATCATGAACATTTTCCAGTCAAAAGATGGTTTTCCCCTTTCTGCAGTTATAAACCACTCACTAAGCCTTCAGAGTTGCATCCTGATTGCTATAAGTAGTTAGATGTCTTGAAGCAACATGCAATTATTAGTGGACATCCTACATCAAAAACTTGCCTCACCTTGTCCAATTTAGTAGCAGATCATTTGGAGCATTTTGGAGCATTTGACAATACAGGTAGTCCTTGATTTACAACAGTTCATTTAGCGACCACTCAAAGTTACAAGGGCACTTAACAAAGTGAGTTATGACCATTTTTTACATTTGCAACCATAGCCGCATCTTTGTGATCAAAATTTGGATGCCTGGCAACTGATTTGTACTTATGATGATTACAGTGTCCTGAATTTATGTGATCCCCTTTTGCGACCTTCTGGGAAGCAAAGTCAACCGGGAAGCCATTAACAACCATGTTACTTATTTAACAACTACGGTGATGCACTTAACAGCTATGGCACAAATGGGGCAAAGTTCACTTAACAAATGTTTTGCTTAGCAACAGAAAAAATTGGGCTTAATTGTGGTTGTAAGTTGATGGCAACCTGTATGGACATAAGTTGAGGACTACCTATAATAGTAAGTAGCAATTAGCAATTAGCCTGGTAACCTACCATCTTCCAGGTGTTCGGAATTTTGAGTCTATCTTCCCACAGACAGCCTGGCAGTGTCAAAGAAACATGAAAGTTTTAGTGCAAGACGTATGAAGAAAACCACATAAATATGTTATGTCTAGAGAATAAGCTGGATATGGCCATTTCTCACCCTAACTAACCACAATGTTACCATGAGAATTAAATAATGGAATGAAAATCCTGAATGTCACTCTGATCTCCTGGAAGAATGATTGAATCAGAGGTGGTATTCAGCAGGTTCTGACCAGTTCTGGAGAACCAGTTGCAGAAAGTTTGAGTAGTTCAGAGAACTGGCAAATATCACCTCTGACTGGCCCTGCCCCCATCTATTCATTGCCTCCCAAGTACCAGCTGATCAGCTGGGTCTTCTTTTATTGGCCTGCACAGGAGAATGGAACTGGAAAGCAGGTTAGTGGGGTGGGGAGGGAATGGGATTTTGCAGTAACTTTCCCCTGGAGTGGGGTGGGAATGGAAATTTTACAGTATCCTTCCCCTGCCATGCCCACCAAGCCAGATCATGCCCACCAAGCCACGCCCACAGAACTGGTAGTAAAAAAAAAATTGAATCCCACCACTGGATTGAATGTAAGGGAAGAGGTAGAAATCTAACCTAGGGTAACAACTGAACTGTTTATTTCAGTAGCCTGACCAGATATACTGGGAGCTATTATGTTCTGCCCCTCCCCCAAAAAATTGGTCTCATAAAAAAAAACATCAGTAAAGGAAGACCCACCATGATAATGGAGATATAATTAACAGTAAAATAAGACAAAGGGAGCCATTTGGTGTAGTTATTAAGTTCTCAGGAGTCCAAACTGACTCAAAGGTGCCCCCCCCCCC